TCAGTGGGGGATATAAAGCAATTGATAGCACTCTTTGGGACAAAGTGGAGCCATAACATGTCTACACTATATATGTGGGGACATGGTCTTAGTAACCATCTGTCACAGAAACAGACTAACTTCAACCAACAGATTGCATCAAACTCATTTTCTAGACAAAAAACTGAGGCTTGACAGGAAAGGAAGTATCCACCAGAGAGAGGGGATCATGAGCTCCCGTAATTCACTTAGCCCCCGGGTTCCTACACCCCTCATCCTTTTTCCTCTCTGTGTTTCAGGGCATTGTTCCTTCAGTTTGCACAAAGTTGGTTGGAGGTAGGCACCATGGGTTTGATTGATACAGCAATTTGCATCTCAAGGCATCGCTCGATAAATACAGTGCAATGAAAGGCCACTCTCTCACAAACCAATTTCCCCCTCTGGGCTGACTTTAGAAGCTCATTGATGTCACTTCCTTCCTCAGTCAGCAAGTGAATTTTCTTTAATTCTCAAGACCAGCTGTCCATGCTGTCAACAGAAAGTTATTAAAATTCCTTTAAAGTGAATAAAAATAGCCTAAAAGCAAATGTACTTGGAAACAGGAAAGAATCAGTATGCAAAGTCCACAAACCTCTGAGCAAAATAATGTTGATCCAACCAGAGATTTCAAACATTGTATATTCAAGATGCTAGAAAAAATAATTAAAAGATGCTAAACCACATACTTCTTAATCTTTTATTAGCAAAGGCTTATGCAGTTACAATTTATCCCCTAAATTCCATTCCTCTTTTTCAAATACGATTTGAATAAACTTGGGAATGACTTAGGTTTTCCTTAAGTGGGATTCCCTACTTTTATCTTGCATCGGCCAGGGAACATGTACATCTGCACCAGCCCAAGACCATCCATAAGCAGGAGAAAAAAAAATTATCATTAGCTGCAATCATAACTACTAGGGCCACAAAATAATTATATAATTATATATTTTAACTCATCACAGTTTTAATAGCTCAAGGAAGGAGATGATTTTTCTTATGTTTAAGTAACTGTAACTCACAAAAATGGTCTGTCTGCCTTCTGAGTCCCTGTGACCCTCAAGCAACTGACCTCAGCAACTAGAAACCTGCCCTGTTATCTTCTGAATCAGCCCTTGCCTTACCCCTTGCTCCCCTAGCACGGCACCTACCTTGTTGTCTGAGCGGCACCCAACCTGGTAATTAAGTCCGTCCAAAACATGGAAGTGTTTCCTGCCACTTCTACCACCAAGGGTCACCTGCCTCTTTCTCATTTGGACAGATGACCCAAATCCTGGACTCACTCAGACCCTTTGCCAAAGAAACCTGTATCCAGCCTGTCTTGTCATCCCAAGATATTTGTGTCTTGGGTTCCTACCTGTAGCTGGAGCCAGGGCTCTCCCAAGTGTATTACTCTTATAGTTCTGGAGGTCCGACATTCAAAATGGGTTTCAGTAGACTAGAAGAAAGGTACAGCAAGACTGCATACCTTCAGGAGTCTCGAGGGGAGAGTCTGCTTCATTCTCTCTTCCAAGTCTAGAGGCTGCCCACCTTCCAGGTTCAGACCTCTTCAGGCCACAGCATCCCTCTGACCCCTGCTTCCATTGTCACATCCCCTTTCACCTGTCTTTGATTCTCCTACTTCTCTCTTATAAGGACCCTAGTGATGACATTGTTCGCATCCAGATAATCCCGGATAATCTTCCCATCTCAAGACCTTTAACTTAATCGCATCTGTAAAGTCCCTTTGCCATGTAAGGTACCATATGCACAAGGTCCAGAGATTAGAATATGGACATTGGGGGGCGGTGGGGGCATTATTGTATTCTATTCTGTTTACCATAATTGCCATGTCAGTTTTCATAACCTATAGATATCTTCATTTTAATTATGGGAACAAGCCCATAGGGCTCCCTTAATAACTTCTCTTTAAATTCTGTTCCTTTTCCCCTTCTGTTTGGTAACACCAGTATGTACACACTCCCCTTGATGAAAACCTAGGGCTTGCCCTCGCTCCCTGCTCCTGTACTTGCCACATCCACTCAGTGTCCAGAACTTACTTCAGAAAGCCCACCAGCTCCGCACACCCCTCCATCTCTGTTCTCCCTCCTGGGCTGAAACCCTCATCCCTGCTGCCTGAGGACTGGACATGCTTTTTGCTCTCTCTGCCACGTGTCTTCCGCTCACCGTCACCCCCTCCTCCACACCATCACCAAAGTCCTCTTTCTCAAGCACAGCTTTGGTCACCTTACCTCCCCTGCTGAAAAACCACCACTGGCTTCCCACAGCTGGAAAAACCCTTCTCAACTTCACCTCAAGCCAGCAATGCCCCAAAGCTCTTACCCTTTTCCCATAGCCCCTACTTCCCACCTGCTCTGGTATATGCTCTCACTCTATAAACCACTAGAACATCTCGAGATTCATCCAAATACACCCTCTTCTTGCCTCTGAGACTATCCTTCCGGCCACAACTCCCTGGAATGCACTTCACTTATCCTTTGCCTGCAAAATGCATACTTACTTCATTCTAATCCCCCCAAATCTGGACAGGAGGAGATACTGTGAACTCTTTGTTATAGATGACCAAACAGGCAGGGCATTAGTTAACTGGCCCCAAATAAAACATCTAGCAAATGGCAGGGCTGTGATTAGATACCAGGTTGTTGTTTGCTCCGTTTGTTCGAGTCTGGTGGGCTGCTGCACTATTAGATGATGATGGTTTGCTTGTTTGGGCTCTCACTTTTCCCTGGCATTCCTTCAGAGTTCCCTTGGTTCCTAAGGAAACAGAAGGAAGGCTTTGTACTGCGGCTGCCACCCCAGGCTCCCCTCCAGCCTATTCTGCAGTTAGCAACAAGCATTGAGTGGTCTTTTAAAAATGCACATTTGACCACACCATTCCAGTGTCCCAACCCACACCCTGGCCTAAATTTCCTTAATAACTGACTTCCCACTGCTCTTGTAACGATCATAAATTTCCCAGAAGTGGGCTACGTTACTTGCTGCCCCACCTCATATGATACCACACACCCTTATTTCTCCACTCTGGCCATCATGGCTTCCTTTCCATGCCTTGGACCCACTATGCTCCCCCTTTGTCGCATGGCTGTAAACATGACCTTTCTTCTGCTGGATGTTCTCCCTCTTCTAGGCAAGACTGATGATCTAATTCAAAAAGCCAAGCTTTTTCCACAAATCATGTTGCCTCTTCTTTAAAATCCTGCATATAATCCAACAAAAGAAATCTAACTATTAAAACATATCAAGAGAATCTCATTGGGCAATGCCATTTAAAAAAGGAAGAAAATGATTTCTTATTATCTGAAGACTCCAAGATTGGCCCCTGGCATTTTGTAACAGTGGCATGATAATCCACTCTTAACACTGTCATTCCATTTTCTATGCTTCTTACACTTCTATTATATCTCATATAACACCTTGCCTGGTACTGAACACTTAGTAAAATGTTCAAATATACTTATTTTTGGTTGATTAATTGATTGGTAAATATCAATTATTCATTACATGTCCTAAAAAAAAAAAAGTTTGGCAGTTTGTTAAACAACTAAACCAGCAACTATCATACAACCCAGCAGTTGCACTCCTGGGCATTTATCCCAGAGAAATAAAGATTTGCACTCACAAAAAAGCCTGTACACAAATGTTGGTAGATGCTTTATTCATAATAGCTAGAAACTACCCAGATGACCTTCTATGGGCAAACAGTTAAACACACGTTGGCACGTCCATACCATGGAATGCTACTCAGCAATGAAAAGGGATGAACTCCCAGGAATACACAAGCCAACATGGATGAATCTCTGGAGAACTCAGCTGAGTGAGAAAAACTGACCTCAAAGGTTATGAAATGGAGGATTCCATTTATGTAACATTCTTGAAATGGCAAAATGATAGAAATGGAGAACAGATTAGTGGTTGCCCAAGGCTAAGAGGAGAGAGGGGGTGGGTGGCTCTAAAAGCACAACAGGAAGAATCCCTGCAGTGATGGAAATGCTCTGTATTCTGACCAAGTCGATGTCAGCATCCGGGTTGTGATTTTGTGCTTTTGATCTTCCGGATGTTACCATCGGGGGAAACTGGGTAAAGGGTACCCAGCACCAGTCTGTATTATTTCCTAAAAATGCAAGTGACTGCACAGTTATCTTATTTAAAATTTTAAAAGGACGTGTTTAATCAAGTATGTATCATACCAAGATGTTCACAAGCACATATTCTCTGTAGTGCCACAAAATTTCTTCTTTCCCGTCTTCCTTGGTTTGTTGATTTGTTGATCATTTATTATTACTAGGGATTTTTTTCCTTTTGTTTAAGACATAAACAATACTGATCACTTTCAGGCTGTTTTCACCACGAAGCTTTACTATTTTAGTGACTTTATTCTTTATATATCCCTGTTACCTTTCATATGTTACTCTGATTTTTTTTTTTTTTTTGTCCTGACCAAGATACTTTTCAGAAAACTGTTGGTTTTCACTTTAATCTCTGCAGCACCATAACAACAAAGTATAATGATGTCTTTATTATCTGCATGGGTAAGAGAAAAGGTTTTAAAAGTAGCACTTTGCCACCTGCCACATTAGAACTCCTTGTTTAGTCCTCAAGTTTCCATGAGCTCTGTGTTAGTATTGTACTTGAACAGCTTGTCATTGTTTGGAAACCTTTGACTGGCTATTGTTCAAGTTTTTATTCTGTCTTTTTCTTCTCTCCACTCCTCTGCCAAAGTTTCATGCATTTTTGGGGTAACACCCTTACCGAGTGTCGACTCTATTCTCTAACATCTTTGCCTCATGTGGTTTATTTAGGATTTGGCTTTTTTTCCCCCCTCCCAATTATTGGAGTGATTGTAAAGGTCTATGTCGTGATACAAGTGTTTGCTTAAAGAGCCCATGACTGCTTTGGAATTTTGAGTGAGAACAGAGCAGGATCAGTACTGCATTTTATTCATTGTCACCCTTTAATGTCACATTTATTTTTGCTTTCTCTTTCAGTGACTAGAGAAAAAATCCAGGAACGTATCACCGACCAGGTATTTCTTCCCTTCTCATAAATTGTAGAGTTATACGTTAGATGTTAATAGTCAAGCATTTGTAAATATGGAAAAAAAGGTTTTGCTAATTATTAAGTACGAGCAATATACATGCTGTTGGTTCTGACAAGTACACTGGTCAGACATGGATGATCATGTACTTTCTTTGTCTCCCCATCTCCTTCCTTCCCTCCACACACCCACCGAAGGAAACAGTGGAGAAGTAAGACACTGTCAGTTCTGATTTGCAAGCCTTCCTCTGAACATATCATGACCTCTGCATTGATACTATCATGGCTGCAAATAGATACATGTATCTATTTTTCCCTCAACTAAGGTGACTCTCCTGTGTGATCTTCCCAGGTTTTAATTTGCCCAGTGGAAAGTCACTCCCTCCCAAACAGTTCAGAACAGAACCCCTTGCAGGAGAAACATACAAGTTGGCTTTCCATTGTGGTCTTTGACTTCTATGCAGCACGGTTAGCCAGCATCTTCCTGTCTACTTCACTGTTTACTTACCCAGTCTTGTTACAGACTTATTTTTATTTGCTGGTAGATGGCGTCAGTCCGTGTCACTGTTGAAGGGAGTAGACTACAACCATCCATGAAACCAAGGGAGGCCTTCACCAAACCCTGTCTTGCCCTGCCCCACCTCCTCTTTCCATAGGTGATTCGGGCTGTCCTTCCCCAAAGGCTGCCCGTGCCACCAAACTCAGAGAGCTCAGGCTCCACTCACAAGCACAAATCCCCATGTCCTTTTTTTTTATTATTGTTCTCCTCTGGCATAAATTATAACTCACCCTTGCCAACGCGAAGAGTGGTAAGTCTACTTTTAAACCCGTCAAGAGTACCTTTTCCAAAGTCTTCTAATGCCTCCCAAATAAGTTCCAATTCTAGTCCTCATTGTCATTCTACCCCAATTAAGTTCTAGCTTTACCTAATCTGGGCCAGATGCCCCGTAACTCATCAAGCTCTAAAAATAGTTAACTAATTAGGCTAATGAAAGTAACGCAAGTTCAATAGGCAAATTTTAAGGCTGATCAGGTACCATTTTGCTTTTGTATATAATTGGACATGTTGGCAGCTATCTTAATACTTGAAACTGCTGCCATTGCACAATGGCAAAATCAGTTAGCTGTTTCAAATACTTTATTTGCTTTTTGAGCTTCATTTCTTGATCACTGTATTTTCAGTTATTTGTATGTGTTCAGGTGGTTTGGTAAGGCTGAGCAACAGTTAACCAGTAAAGTTTATTGCTACCATTTTATTTGTTTAAGTCACATAGGGAATACTTTTTCTTATAAAGAGACCTGTTTTCTTTCCTAAGTTAACAAAAAGCAATTGACCAAGACCTATATTAAGGCTACCTCTTATGGGCAGATTTTCATTTCCTATATTTTCCTTCTTTTTACACTTGGCTAACCTAACAGAATATGTGGACCCCAAAATAGAACATCAAATATTTACTTGTAATCTGACACATTGATTTGTTGCCAAATGAAATCATAATGGTTTCCAGTCCCAATAAGAGAGTGAAATTCTTTGGACTTTAACATAATAAGGAAGGGTCTTAAGTGTATTTGTTATAGAAGGAAGGGTCTTAATATTTGTTATTCAGTCATTCTCAGAACAGACAGTTGTGTTGTTCCATCAGTGTCTGCAGCTGGTATTTCTAATTTTACAATAGAATTTCTATTCTTTCTTCTCCCAAGTAGAGAAGAGCTCTCCACTCTCAAGAACACACTGACAGTATAATCCAAAGAGGCACCTTACACCTCTAATTTATCGATTTTGGTAAAGAACCAAGAAATGAAGTCACACCCCTTCTTTAAATCACTCTGCCACCCCCCAAAATTTGGCTTTTAAAAAACAAATTTGAAAACTCACTTTGGATAATCAATACAGTGTTCTTTATCAGAAAATAATGTAAAACGGAGCACTGTTGAGCATTAATCTTTGCCCCTAAATCCTTCCCACTGGGCACTATAGATTGTGTAATTAAATTGAAATTGAAAGTCGAGTCCTTTTTTTTTTTTTCTCTTTCCATTAAGCAAACTACGAATTGCACACCAATGTGAGAAATCAGGGCTGGAGTGGATGGAAAGCTCCAGCCTCCTGGCCAATAGCCAGCATGCATTTTTAGCCGACAGCAATTTTACCACACCTGAGCTCTGAGAACAAACAACTATTTGAGTTCTCTGGAGGGAATGCTGGATTCTTTCCTGTGTAATTCACTGGGGAAATTAGTATGCTTTTTTAAAGTAACTTGTTAACGCAGCTTGTTTACGAGAAGAGGACAAAAACGAGCAGTGAACCGCTTGGCAGCTTATGTCCCAGAATGGGATGAAGGCATGACCCATTTTTTCAGCTGTCTCTTTGGCAGTTCAGTGCTGCAACCATTTCCCTCTGAAAAATGTTCTTTCTAGAGATGAAGTTTCCAGTAGGTTTTGTGAATAATTTTTACTAGGGGAGATTAAAGACGATACCTTAAAATGCTACCAAAAATACCTTTGAAACCCCAGCTAGAATACGGTCCATAAAGAATGGGAATATGGTACGTAAAACCTTTTCACTTCAACTTGGAAACTGCCTTCTCATAGAGCAGACAAGGGAAACCTGTAGTAAATTAATACCTTCTGTGTATGCCTTTTTGTATAGTAGATGATTGAAACCCGTTGTGAATTAATACTTTGTTTTTACACGGCGGGATGACAAAGGGGGGCTCCATTTCTTGTGGAGAGGATATGCACGTTGGGGAGAACATCCCCACCCAGGCGCTGGCTGGGACGAAGGCTTGCCTTCACTGACAGCCTGGTTGAGAGAGAGCCAGCCCTGTGGGGTGCCATGGAAAGCGTGAGTTCATGGTAACAAACTCCCACCAACTGGGTGCTTTCAAACAACAGAAATGTGTTGTCTCAATTCTGGACGCTAGAAGTCCAACATCCAGTGGTTGACGGGGCGCTGCTCCCCCAAACCTGTCAGACCTGCCCGTCCTTGCCTCATCTTGGCTGCTGGGGGCGGCCGGCAGTCCTTGGTGTTCCTTGACTTCCAGCTTCAGTCTCTGACTCTGTCCGCATGTCGCATACTCCCTGTGTGTCTCTTCTCCTCTTCTTTATTTTTTTTTAAGATTTATTTTATTTATCTGAGAGAGAAAGAGAAAAAGAGAGAGTGAGTGGGGGCAGGAGCAGAGGGAGAGAATCTTCAAGCAGATTCCCTGCTGAGCACAGAGCCAGACTTGGGGGTCAATCTCATGACCCCGAGATGATGTCCTGAGCCAAAACTAAGAGTTGACGCTTAACCAACTGAGCCACCCAGGTGCCCCATCTCATGTCTTCTTATAAGGACACCAGCCATAAGGGGTTAGGGCCCATCCTAATGATCTCATCTTAACTTAATGACATCTGCACATACCCTTTCCAAATAAGGTCACACTGATAGGTATCAGGAGTTAGGACCTGCGCATAGCTGTCTGGGGGACACAGTTCAACCATAAAAAGCTGGGGACCTGTAAGTGATCCTTGATCCCATCTCTCCCTCTGACCACTGAGCACTTCTGGTGTGACCTCCCGACGCCCCTCCATCCAGCTCCCCCTACACCCAGCCCGCCACCCCTGCTTCCTCCAGACCCTCATCTTGCTTGCTCCCTGTGCTCTCCTGCTTTTCCATCCACCACCTTTCCATTCGTCTTCCATGCTGCTCCTCTTTGCTTTCTAAAATACCAAACCTCTGTATCTCTCCTCGGCCGCAAAATAAAAATCAAACAGACACACCTCCCCCACATTTAGCAGTGATGACGACCCCTGCCTGTGCATTATACTCACACACGGAGCTTTGTTAGCACAAACCCTGAGATGGCAGTCCTAACCCACCCCAAGAAGTGCTGGATCGGGAGTTGAATTCAGACCTAGCACAACCCTTTGACCAGGCCAAAAGGGGTCATATGCTTTAGAAGACCCTAGACATCACAAACGCAGAAATGCAAAGACTACTTTTCTTCTTTTGACCTTGGTGTTTTAAAGTTTGATACTCAATGGAGCGCACATAAAATAGCATGGCAAGACAGAGCAGCTGAGTTGGGCCCTCTCATCCAGTGGGGTGGGGTTGGGCTGAGAGAGAAGAAATCAGCCTGTGCCCTTTGAAACCAAGGATGGAGGGACTGTTGTAGCTTCAGGAAAGCCACCCCTCATCCTCTGAAGTGGGAGGATGTGGAGGCAGACAGCGTCCCTCAGGTAAGTGTACTTCTGCCCTTCCCTCTGCTTTGGAGATAGGTGGAGTGGCGGGGGGTGGAGGGGTACACTTTCAGGCGGTACTTAGAACTGCCTGCCAATCCCAAGGTCAGAAAAGTGAGGTATGAGGCAAGTGAACGCACTTCCCACCCCCGGCCAGGGAACCTGAAGAGCTTGAGTCATCCACCTCCTTCATCTCTGGCCTGCCTATGGCTTCTGCCCTGTCTTCCTCCTGAAGGTTCACGGACCACTCAGGTCCTTAGTGGCAGGGTGGCTCCCGGGGAGAATGGGTCTCCTATAGCCTCCAGGCCCAGAGCAGTCCCTCCCAACTTGCTGCAGACCCTGGGTGGAAATGAGGGCCCCGTACTGGGGGTATTGCTTACTTTGAAACTTCTAAATATTTAGACACACAGTATGTGGGCCTCCGTTCATACTCTTGCTCTGGGCCCAAAAATGTTGGGAATGATTCTGCTCAGACACCTGCAGCTTTAAAACTTAATATGTGATTCTCATAAAAAGCTCAGGTTGAACCCACTCATATATCATCTATAGGATAAAACCCTAACCTTCGAGTATGAAATCCAAGGCCCTGTACCTCATAATCCTTTGGACAGCATGCTCCCCACCTCCCTAGACTTATTTCCCATTCTGCTACTTTATATAAAAGTATTGTGTTATATAAAACCAACATACTAACCCCTTTTCCTGCACATGCAATATTTACTCATATTCCAAGGCCTAACTTAAATACCGCCTCTTCCACGAAACTTTCCT